GCCGCCCGTCACGTACGACACAGCGTGCGCCGCCGCCCGTCACGTACGACACAGCGTGCCCCGCCGCCCGTCACGTACGACACAGCGTGCGCCGCTGCCCGTCACGTACGACACAGCGTGCTCTACTCAGTGTCTCTTCTGTGGAGCACGTCACCCAATGAGTATCACTCAGCCCCTCAGTTCCAAACCGTGCTACTCCATGTGTCTTCAAACATGTGACCCAACATCACCCCACGCCCACGGGAGCCACGGCAGGGCCCCACCACCCAAGATCACACACACACCACCTGACATGCACACATTCCTGTCTTGCCTCACCACACAAGCGACAGCTGGGCCTTGCAGGGGCCCTAGGCAGCAGCTCTCACCATCTCGGAGGCCACGCTGGGGCTTGCGCCCTCAGGGGAGCCCCCTTCATCCCGCGAGCAGTCAGGGCCTGCATCCTCCTCGTACTCTGTCAGGCAGTCCGACTCCTCCCCTGAAATCAGGGAGCAGGGCACGGTGAGGGGCTATGGGCTGGCCTTACGCCTGCGGTCATAGCCCCCCACCTCTAGGCCTAGCCCCCACCCTGGGGCCCCCGCAACCCCTCACCATCAGCACAGCCATCGGAAACGTAGCTTGTGGGGGGTTCGATCCGGGACACGATCTCTGCCAGGTCAGTGAACCCAGAGCTGGGGAAAGCAAGAACCTGGAGGGGGGTGTCAATAAGGTTTTTAGGGAGTTCAGAGGAGATCCTGGGGGGCTCAGAGGAGATCTCGGAGGGCTTGGCGCAACCCCAGGGATATCTGGGGTCACCTGGGGCTTGCGGGGGCCCAGAGGGAATTAGGAGTCCCTGGCTGGTACAAACAGTTAAGCACTCAACCACTAGATGAAAGGTTGGCAGTTCGAACCCACTCAGAGGTGCCTTGGAAGAAAGGCTTGGCGATCTACTTCTGAAAAATCAGCACTGAAAACCTTACAGAGCACAGTCCTACTCTGACACACATGGGGTCACCATGAGCTGGAACTGATTTGCTGACAATTGGTTTAATTGTTTGGTTGAAGACTTAGGGTTTTATTGAGTCAAGGGAACATCTCAGGAGTTCAGAAGGGTTCCTGGAGGTGTCTCGGGGGCCCGGAGGGGACAGGGGTATCTCTGGAGTCAGAGCAGTCCTCGGGGGAGCATCCCAGGCTTACGTCTGCGCGGCGGCTCTCGTTGAGGTCGGTAGACCGCCGGTCTGTGAGCATCTTCTCGATGATGTCGCCACGGCTCCAGGCCCCGAACACAGTCTTCCCGTACTGGTAGCCCACGTCCTGCAGGGAGCACGGGGTGGGGCCAAGCCTGCGGCCTCACCACACCTCTCTCCACGCTTGTCTTCTCTGCGCATCCCCACTATGACTCTCCCTCCCCAGCCCGCTCACTTGGGGGGAGCTGGTGTTTGAGATAAAACCTATTTCAGAGTCAGATGATATGTAGCACACTCGCCAACATCTCCCCTTCCTGTGCCCCTGCCAGACATTGCCACATCAATCTCTCCATGTTCTTTCCCACCCAGCCCCATGCAGTGCGCCAGGGGGCTGCTACCAAATGACTGAAGATAGTGGTGTGCAAGAAAGCTTATATCAAGGTCTGCAAATATGCAGTACATCTGGCCAGCTGTCAGTTGCCGTTGAGTCAGCTCCAACTCATGGTGACCCCCTGTACATCAGAGTAGAACTGTACTCCACAGGGTTTTCAATGACTGATTTTTCAGAAGTAGACTGTCAGGTCTTTCTTCCAAACTGTCTTTGGGTGAACTTGAACCTCCAACCTTTTGGTTAGCAGCTGAGTGTGTTAACCATTTGAACCACCCAGGAACTCCAATACATCTACAGATACAGCCATAGCCCACACCCAGAGCAGACATCACTAATCAATCACGGCATGCTTTTCCCGTGAGCTCAGAGATGGCATTAGACATTTTTACTCAAGGATCTGGTCAGCATCTGCCAATCAATTTCAAATGGCATAGGCTACAACACATTTTTCAGGATCAGCAGCACATGATACATGCATTGCTACGTCCCTCGCCCAGACCTGTCCCAGACCTGCGGCAAACATCACTGATTGATCTCTGCTCTCGTTCTTACCAACCCAGAAATAGCATCAAAAATCTCTTCACAGTGCTCAGGCAGCACGGCTTAGCAATCAGAAACTTAGTTCCTACATAGCACATATGTAGTCACAGTCCCCTGCCATGCCTACTGCAAACATCAGTAATTGATCTGTTCTATTTCTCACAGATCCCAGATGGAGCCTTAGAGTGCTTCCCCTCCACAGTGCCCTGGGCTTTAACTGGTAAAGCTTTGCCCAGCCACGACACCAGCACCACATCGCGCCCGCCTGCTTACATAGATCTGGTCGAACTTCCCAAAGTCCATGGTCTTGAAGCAGTCAATGGGCGGGCGCAGGTACTCGCAGTAGGAGCTGGACTTGACGACCTCCAGCTGCCGCACGCAGGACACATAGGCCAGGCGGGACTGGATCTCGGCCATGTCTGGGACCTTGACCTTGTCCGCCCAGGGGTTGAGCCGCTTCCACAGCAGCCACCACCCAGACAGGCTATCCCCGTAGGTGCTGAGGTCTGTCTCGTCCTGGCTGCCCACGTCAATGGCGATGACTGTCTTGGCGCCCATGCTGCGGGCAATGTCCGCTGTGGGGCCAGGGGGTCAGTGGGCTGCTCCCACCAGAGCCCGGGGCGGTAAGTTCAACCCAGTCTCACAAACACCCATCATGCAAATGGTCAAAGAAACGTGCGCAACACACGTCGTCATATAAATGCCACAGGAATGAAGACAAGGGGACGGGGTCAGGTGATGGGGCTCTTTGGGTGAGGGACCCAGGGCCAGAGAGATGGGGGAGATGGGGACAGAGGGGCAGATCAGACACACGGGGACAGAGATGTGGAAGGACAAAGAGAAGCAACACCAGGGAACCAGAGAGACAGAGTCAGGCACGCAGCGGAGTCGGAACACAAAGCCAGAGGCACAGAGGACCAAGACGTGAGCAAACAGACACAGAGAGGGAGACCTGGGAGCGGAGACGCCAGGAGCCAGAGCCGGGTGAGAGAGAGATAGCAGGAGCCAGAGCCGGGTGAGACAGAGCAGGAGCCAGAGCCGGGTGAGACAGAGCAGGAGCCAGAGCCGGGTGAGAGAGAGACAGCAGGAGCCAGAGCCAGGTAAGACAGAGCAAGAGACAGAGCAGGAGCCAGAGCCGGGTGAGAGAGAGACAGCAGGAGCCAGAGCTGGGTGAGACAGAGCAAGAGACAGGGCAGAAACCAGAGCCGGGTGAGACAGAGCAGGAGCCAGAGCCAGGTGAGAGAGAGACAGCAGGAGCCAGAGCCGGGTGAGACAGAGCAGGAGCCAGAGCCGGGTGAGAGAGAGACAGCAGGAGCCAGAGCAGTGGGAGGAGACAGAAGGCAGGTGGGGAGAGGGACCTCAGAGCTGAGACGAGGGGCAGCTGGCAGACAGGGAGGCAGAGGCAGGGCAGGGTCGGGGGAGGACCCAGGGAGGAGGTTGTATGGCCAGGGGTCCAAGGGCCCCAGCAAGGGTCCCTCAGTGAGTCTCAGGAGGCCTGGGCCAGGATCCTGTCACCAGGCCCAGCCCACAAGAAGCTCCAGTCTCCGTCAGCCTTTGCCCCTGCGTCCCTCGTGAGCGTTGTCTGTGTTTGGGACACACATGCCCATGTCCACGTGTCTGTGTGCACCTCCACATGTCCTCTCCGGTGCACAACTCCCGTCCGAGTCTATGTGCCAGGCTGTGTGTCTGTGGACATGGACGTCCTGGCTGTGCCTAGTGTCTGCAATACATACCTGGGCCTGTCTGTATGCATTTCAGCCCACCTGTACTTAGATCAGTGTCTGTGTGTTCCTATGTGTCCACGTGTGCCCATCTACCTGTGGCTTTGCACACACCTGCCCAGGTACGTGTGCTTCTGTCACTGTATGTATCTGTACAGAGCACCTGTGGCAGGAGTTGGCAAGCTTTCTCTGTAAAAGGCCCAGAGAGTAAACGTCTTTGGCCTTCTGGGCCACCTGGCCTCTGTCTCAACTACTCAGCTCTACTCATGTAGCACAGAAGCAGCCTGTAGACGAACGGGCACGGCTGCATCCCAATAAAAGTTTATTTACAAAAATAGGTGGGGGGCTGGATTTGGCCTTCGGAGCCATACTTTGCCAACTCCTGACCTAAGGTAACATGGGCATGTGTGTAGCTAGTCATGGGTCTACTTGTGCATGCACACTTCTGGGTATGTGACATTTTAACACTACCCCAAGCCAAACATGCATAGCTGCCCAGATCTCATCAGCACATGCAAAGTCAGCATGCGCCCCATCCCATCTGCGTGTGTACACACGTGTACATTTGAGGGAGCACATGGGGTAAGTGTGAATGGACCTGGAGTGAGCGTGGACATACAGCCCAGCTCATCAGTGCATGTGCTCCTCTATGCATGTGTGGCTGTGTGCACAGGTGTAGGTGGACCCTACATACATGCAACTGAGAGAATGCACACGTGAGCACGTGTACCTGGTGTGCACACGTAAACGGGTCTGTTTTGTCTGCACAGACCTAGCTGTGTGTCCATGCATCTCTGTGTGCAGGTGTCTGCATGCAGGCGTGTCTGTGCGTGCAGGTGTGTGTCTGCGCATGCAGGCGTGTCTCTGTGTGCACACGTCTGTGTGTGCATGCATCTGTGTGTGTGTGTGTGTGTGTGCAGGTGTGTCTGTGTGTGCACGCATGTGTGTGTGTAGATGTGTCTGCGTGCGGGCGTGTCTGCACGTGTAGCTGTGTCTGTGTGCGGGCACGTCTGCGTGTGCACGCATCTGCGTGTGTAGATGTGTTTGTGTGTGCGGGCATGTCTGTGTGTGCAGGCATGTCTGTGTGTACATGCATCTGTGTGTGTAGATGTGTCTGTGTGCGGGCGTGTCTGCGTGTGCATGCATCTGTGTGTGTAAATGTGTTTGTGTGTGCGGGCATGTCTGTGTGTGTAGATGTGTCTGTGTGTGCGGGCGTGTCTGTGTGTGTAGATATGTCTGTGTGTAGATGTGTTTGTGTGTGCGGGCGTGTCTACGTGTGCACGCATCTGTGTGTGTAGATGTGTCTGTGTGCGGGCGTGTCTACGTGTGCACGCATCTGTGTGTGTAGATGTGTCTGTGTACATGCATCTGTGTGTGTAGATGTGTTTGTGTGTGCGGGCGTGTCTGTAGATGTGTCTGTGTGTGCATGCATCTGTGTGTGTAGATGTGTGTGTGTGGGCGTGTCTGCGTGTGCAGATGTGTCTGTGTGTGCATGTGTTTGTGCGCTCGTTTGTGTCTAAAGCAGCACATGTGCATATGAGTGTGCTTTTCAACTACACATGTTCCTGTCCTTGGGCACACCTGTGTGTCTGCTTGTGCACGTGAGTGTGTATGTGTGGGGGTGTATATCTGTAGTTGCATGTACACACAAGTCTGCCCATGTGTGTATCCTCCCGTCTGTGTCTGCGTGCATCCGTGTGTCTGTGCAGACAGCCACTTGCCTGGTAGGTTGTTGATGTAGCCGCCGTCCATGAGCAGATGCCCATCCTTCGGGTCGCACAGAGGGGGCAGGTAGCCCGAGAGTGTCATGCTGGCACGCACATACCGCCACAGGGAGCCTGCCCGGTGGGACACACAGACACAGACACACACAGCCACGCTCAGCCACGCTCAGAGCCTGGCCAGCTCGCTGACCTGGCATGTTGTTAATGTAGCACCCGTCCACAAGCAGGTGCCTGTCCTTGGGATCGCAGAGTGGGAACAGGTAGGGGTAGTAGGAGGCGCTGGCCCGGACGTAGCGCCACACGCAGCCTGCAGGGACGGCGTGAGCGGTTGAGGTGCCCGCCTCGTCCCCAGGCTCCCTCTCCCAAGGGCAGACATACCTGGGGCCTCTCAGGCATTAGTGGTTAGTGGTCAGCATATCAGGCTGGGGTGGATGGTCACGTGTGTTAACATCCCAGGTGCTCGGCTGTCCACCCCACTCCACCCCCCTGTGTTCCATGTAGCCACAGCGGTCGTCGGGGGCTGGAAGGGGGGGCACCCACCGTCTTTGTGGACACGCATGGCCGAGGCAGTGATATCTGTTGTCACGTTGAAGTACGGCAGCCACAGGTCCTACAAGGCCAGGGACAAAGTGGGGTGGCTGGGACTGGGAGAGGAATGGGGACTTGAGCTGGAGGGAGGGGTGGGGTGGGGGCACACCTCAATCTGCTTATCCTGGAAGACGCGATGGATGCTTCGGTTGAAGGCTGACCCCGTGAACATGGAGGTGACGGGGTACGTGAGGTCCAACACGGGCTCCAGCACTGAAGTCATGCTCTAGGGGCAAGGGGCCAGCTGGGGTCAATTAGGACTCACCTAGGGCTGCCAATCCAAGGGAAGCAAGGAACATCCAAGAATGAAGAGGTGGCCACTAAGAATCAAATAGGATTCACCCAGGACCACTAACAAGGTTGTCACTAAGGGTTCCAATTGCTCTACTGAAGCTGGGGACGAGGGTCATCAACCAGGATGTCCCAGAGGAGTCATCCAAGGTCCCAGAAAAGTCATGGCTGTCTCTAATAGGATGCACGGTACCACAAGGAGCTGAGTGGAGCTCATGGTTACGTCAGCAAGGGTCACCATGCAAAGCCACTTAGGGTGGAGTCACAGGAGTCACAAGGGTCCCTCCCCTCACACACACCTTGGCCCACTCCCGAGCCCGCTGCTTAGTACGGCTGGCGCTGCGCTCCTCCGCATACAGGGCCCCGATGAAGGAACCGATGGATGTACCGCCCACCAGATCGACCGGCACCCCCGCCTCCTCTAATGCCTTCAGCACCCCGATGTGTGAGCAGCCCCTGGGGGGAGGTGACCCAGTGACCCACTTGGCCCGCCCGCCCCAAGGAGCGCCCCTTGGCCCCCCTCCCCCACAGCCAAAGAACAAGCGCCAGCCCCGCCCCTGGCCCCAACCCACAAGCAGGCTCCACCTCCAGACAACCTGGCCCCGCCCTCACCTGGCCCCGCCCCCGCCCAGCACTAAGGCGATGGTGTTTCCAGTGAGCACCCGCGCCAGGCGGGAGAAGTCGCTGTGGCGGTCCGCGCGCCGCGAGAACACCTTGTCGTAGAGCTCGTGCTGGAATAGAGGGGGGACCACCACTCATGAGAATAGGACAGGGGTACGGAAGGTAGGGCCACGGATCCCCCAGCCACATCCAGATCGTCCGCCGGCCCATCTCCTCCAGGCCCTCCCAATCGCGGGCCTCTAAATCGCGCCCACAATGGACACGCCCCGGAAGGGCCAATCACAGGGGGCCTCTTAGCTACACCCCAGTGGGCACGCCCTGGAAGTGCAGAGGCCCCTCCACGCCCTGCCCCTCACCAGCTTGGCCGGGCTGCGGCGGGAGAAGAGGCGGCGCGGGCAGCGCAGGTGCAGGTGTCCTGAGCACCAGCTGCGCATGTTGAGCCACTCGACGGTGCGCGTGGGGCCCGGACCCTCCTCCCGGTGCAACAGGACGAGCTGCTTGAGGGCGCGCACGGCTGTGTTCTCCAGCATCTGCTCCAGCTGAGGGAAGCGGGGGCGGAGGTCACCAGTTGTGGCCCTTGTCCCCCACCTGGTTGAGCTGGGCCCCTGGTGGTCCAGCACTACAGTGACGGTGCACTTGGCTGGGCACAGGCATGGGAGGGCAGGGGCGGGGTCCTGGGGTGGGGTCCCTGTGCGAGGCCTCCGGACCTGGCCGAGAGTGGGCTCCTGGTCGCCCAGTCCCACGATGAGGATGCAGTCGGCCTGGCGCAGGCAGCGCACGGTCCAGGGCGTCAGCGACGCGTCCGTCTGGTAGAGCACGATGCGGTGCGCGTCCTCCTGCTGGGCCAGCCACCCGGAAAGCCGGAACTCCTGGATGCTGGGGGGTGGGGGAGTGTCACTCCGAGGCTTGGCTGGATTGCTCGTTGCCCAGAAGCCATGTCTTAACATTGCTGGGGGCGCTGAGACACCCGGCCCCCACAATGGATGTCTGTGCTCACTGGCCAGACGGGCAGGGTGCGTGCTTCTTGAGTCACAGCCCAAAACTCAAACCCAAATCGCAATGGATCCTAGGCTCCAAATCCTCGTCACCCTCCCCACTTCCCCTCCGTTCCCCAAACACACACCTATCCAGCGCAGAGGCCCCCAGACGGGCCCGGATGATGTCACTGTTGAGGAGGAGTGTGGGGCCTGGGGATAGGGAAGGAAAACGGGGTTAGGAGCCAAGTCCAACATAGATGAGGGGCCCTCCCAAAATACGGCATCTCACTTCATGGCCTGGGGCCCTGCTCTACCCCACCACCCACAGACCAATGACCCACCCAAGCATCTCCACTCACTGACCTATAACTATATAACCCCTGTCCCCATTGACCAATGGCCAGCTCCTATGACCAGTGCCCTGCCTTCACCCACACCCGTCCCTCCAAACCAATGGCCAGCCTCCATAACTGATGCCCCTCCCTCACCCACACCCCTTCCCCCATTGACCAATGGCCAGCCTCCATGGCTGATGCCCCTCCCTTACCCACACCCCTTCCTCCACTGGCCGATGGCCAGGCTCCATGGCTGATGTCCCACCCTCGCCCACGCCTTTTCCCCCAGTGACCAATGGCCAGCCTCCGTGATTGATGCCCGCCCTCATCCACACCCCTTTCCCCACTGACCAATGGCTTGCAAGGCATGCTGTAGCTCCAACGTGAAGGCCACCATGGGCACCTCAGCACACACAGGCAGGACCGCCACAGTGGCCAGGTTGCTGGCTGGGTTGGTGAGCTCCGAGTGCGGGGGAACGCCCAGCCCTGAGCCTGCTGAGAGACCCGATGGATGAGCTCTGCTGTGCAGCTTTGTGTCCGGAGAAGCGGACCGTCCTCCATAGAAACCCCAGCCCCACAGGCCTTCAGGCAGCCACGGTGAAGGCCACCACCTCAGACCTGGACCTACACGGTCCCCTCTCTTGATAAGACCTTCCTGCCATCCAACTTTCCGCTTTGGCCCTATGTCCTCAGAGGCATTTCCCTACAATTTTCCGAGCAAGGCTATGAGCATTTAGATTCTCCACTGTGCCGTGGCTCCATCCTGGCCTTGAGCACAAAACCAACCCGTTGCCGATCAGTGGATTCCAACTTATAGTGACCCTACAGGACAGAGAAGAACTGCCCCCTAGGGTTTCCAAGGCTGTAATCTTTACAGGGAGTCCTGGAGGCGCAGTGGTTAAAGCACTTGGCTGCTACCCGAAAGGTCAGTGGTTTGAACCCCTAAAGATTACAGCCTTAGAAACCCTAGGGGGCAGCTCTACTCTGTCCTATAGGGTCGCTATGAGTTGGAATCTTGTGACGGCAGTGTGTAATCTTTACGGAAGCAGATCGCCACGTCTTTTCTCCCTCGGAGCAGCTGGTGGGTTCAAACCACTAACCTTTTGGTGAGCAGCTGAGCGCTTAACCACGGTGCCACCAGGGCTCCTTGAGCACAAAACTAGGTAGAAGTTAATTTACCCTTTATCTATTGCTTCTTTTCTTCTTTGCCAATGCCCTTGAGCAAGCCATCAGCCCCCATCTCCTCACTGTTCTCTCTCTCCACAGAGCAGCCAAAAAGCACTTTTTAAAATGCCCAGCTTAATCCACAGAAACAGAAAGCCGATTAGTGGTTGCCAGGGGCTGGGGGGAGGGAGGAATAGGGAGTGACTGCTAATGGCTACAAAGTTTCCTTTTCGGGGGATGAAAATGTTCTGGAACTAGGTAGTGGCGACAGTTGCACAACATTGCGACTGTACTTAATACCACTGGATTATATGCTTTCAAATGGTTAAAACGGTAAATTTTGTGCGATACGTATTCTACTATAGGAGCGTATAAAAAAAAAAAAACCCACAAAAAACACCCTGTTTAAAACCCTCCAACTGCTTCCCGTAACAGTCTGAGTAAATTCAAAAGCCTTCCATGGCCCTTACCTGAACTGCCCCGGCTCCAACTCACAGCTTCCCTTACTCTCCCGCACTGCCCCAAAACCACCAAGCCCTGTGTGCCTTTATTTCTCCTCATCGTCGGGCCCCCTCTCATTTATCAAGTCTTAGCTCACTGTCCTCAGAAAAGCCTCCCTCCCTGCACAGGTTACGCTCTCTCAAGACACTGTTTTGTTTCCTTCACCGAGCGCACCGCTGTCTGACCTATGGGTTTTTATAATTACGCCTTACCCTCCAGGATGTAAACCCCTCTAGAACTTATCTGTCTTGTTCATTCCCACCCGTGCCCAGCACGGAGCAGCTGCTCGTTGGAAATTTGCTCTTCTGTAGAGCATCACTAGAAAGGCCCTCAGGGGTGTGACGGATGTACGCCTCCAGCCCCCAAAGCTGCCCCAGAAGGTGGCCTGTGCGGCTGAGTGGCAGTGAGCAGGCATTTGCATGCTTAACGGGAGACTGGGTAAAAAACAGCTGTCCTGGGAAGAGGGGGTTGGGGGGAGTGGGGGTGGGGGTGGGGGAGTGATGCTTGGCCGCATCCTGCAACTGACCCTGCCCCCACCCCAGGGGATCCTGGGGAAGAAAGGAGCATAGCATAGGGGTTACTGGGCTGGTCCAGGGTCGGCCATCGTAATCTAGAACCGATCAGAAAGAAGCCTTTGGTTCCACCCAAGCTTCAGGGCCACGTTCAGTACTTCTCAAAACCAGCTCCATCTCCCAGTTTACCCCGGGCCACGGTTCCCACACTTCCCAGCAAGCGCTGGCAGAGGGAGCCACACCTCCCAGCGGGCACTGGGCCCTGGACTCCACCCCTAGCATGCCTGTGACTTCAGGAAGCACTAGTCAATGTGCTCGGGGCTCCAGACCCAGGCCCCACCCCCCACGGACTCCATTTCCCAGTATATTCTGGTCCAGGACTCCTTTCCCAGTACGTTCAGGATGTGGACCGTATCCCCTGGCAAGCCCTGGCATCCAGAACCAACCTAAGGCCCCGCCCCCCAGCACCACTGATCCTGTTGTTAGGTGTCATCGTCGATTCCAACTCATCGCAGCCGCACGTGACAGAGCAGAGCTGCCCCATACGGTTTTCTAGGCTGTAATCTTTATGGAAGCAGATCGCCAGGTCTTTTTTCCCCTGCGGGGCTACTGGGTGGGCTCAAACAGCCGACCTTTTGGTTAGCAGTCCAGCGGCTTAGGCACAGCCCCAAAGCTCTTTATTGATCCTCTAGACTCCATTAACAAGCATGAGTCTACTACTCCGTTTCCCAGCAGGCCGAAGAGCATGAACTCCAACCCCCAGCATGCAATGGAACTCGGATCCCACCTCCGCTCAGACCCCGCCCATAGCGCGGATTAACGCGGGACTCCGTTTCCCAGCATGCCCTGGATTTACGTCTCCCCTCCCAGCAAGATCAGGGCTTCAGACTACATCTGCCACCATAAAAGGAGGCGGAGGGGGGCGGCCCGCTCTCACCTGGGAAGGGTCCCTGTAGCTGCTGCAAATTCCCAAGAATTTTCTGGCTCAGCAAATGGATGAGGCGGGTCACGACCTAGGGGCATTGGAGGCAGAAGTAACTATACTTGTCCTGTCTTTTCCTCTTCAACTAGGTACTTGGGCCCCGCCCCTACCTGTAGGCCCCGCCCTCCATAGGAGTCCCGCCCACTTCACACCTGTGGGTACCGCCGCTTGATGTGACCCAAAGTGCCCTCGGGGAGCTTGGCTAACTCCGTGTCTCGTACCGCATGCACCGTCGTTGCGCGTGGCTGCCGGGTCAGCGCCTCCACCTGTAAGGGCCGCGGGCATTACCAGGGCTCCCTGGGGCGGGAGTACAGGAGACGGCGCGGGGCCCCAGAGAGTCCCTGAGACGGGGGTGGAGGGAGTCAGACCTCGCCGCCCATTAGGGCTCCGGGGACGGGGAGTACAGGGAGCCATGACTAGAAGATGGAGAGGTCTAGGGGCAGAGTCCGAGACCACGCTCATCTCCCCGTGAGGGTGCCCCCTCCTGGAATGGAAACAGGAGGGCTGGACTGGGTGGGGTCAAGGGTCAATGGGCGGGCCGCGCTCACCACGCCGATGAGGTCCCCGCGGCCGTACTCGCCCACCAGCTCCTTCTTGCCGCTGCCACGCTGGATGACACTACGCAGCCGCCCATTGAGCACGATGTAGGTGCAGTCGGAGCGGTCGCCCTGCCTGGGGTAGGGGACAGGTCAGGCACGGTCCGGCTAGGCCTGCGCCGGCAGAGGGTGAGGTGGGACAGGCTGCACCTGTACAACGCGCGTCCCGCCTCCACTGCAGTCCAATCAATGGCGAAGTCCATCTGGCGCACGAAGGGCGACATCCTCGCGGCCACCGTGTGCGCAGCGCTCAGTACCACACTGGGCTGCGCACGCATGATCCTGCGGGGGAGAGAAGGAGTGCATGGGCCGGTGGCATCCTAGAATGGCCAGGTGGGAGTGGGGTGGGTGGTTGATGGCCTGCAAGTGGGACAAGAGAGCTGAATATTGCCCTAGAAGAGCACTGGGTCGCCCAGACCTGGGGCTCCCTCTGCTCCTCCAGGAAATGAGGCCGAGGGATGGGATCGCAGCCTTTCCCCCGCCATACCCATCCCGACCCAGGGCCCGGTCGTACTCATAAAAGTCGGACTTGGAGATGCGCAGGAAGGTGCAGTCGCGTTGGGCACGCAGTGTGAAGATGAGGGGCTCGCCCGTGAGCACGGCCAGCTGCCCCACCAACTCCCCGGGCTGTGCCACGAACAGGCACACGTCCTCTGCCTTGTCGATCATGCGCTGGTAGACATGCAGGCAGCCCCAGAGCACGAAGTGCAGGCTCACGTCCTGTGGGCGCAGTGGCCAGGAGCTGAGCACACAGCAAGGGGCAGCAGCCACTCCCAGCCAAACCCCAGCCCATGCGCGCCATAGGAAAGGTTAAAGAAGGAAAGGATGAAGAAAGAAAGGTTGAGGGAAGAAATGGAGGCTGTGGCTATCTCTGAGCTGAGCAGCGCATGTATATACATATATATGGCCATTCGGCAACTGTTAACTTGCTAGGCTGCTAACCAAAAGGTTGGAGGTTCCAGTCCCCCCAGGGGTGCCTCAGAAGGAAGGCCTGGTGATCTACTTCTAAAAATTCAGCCATTGAATACCCTAGGGAGCACAGTTCTACTCTGATACACATGGGATCATCATGAGTTGGAATGGACTGGATGGTAACTGGTGGTGGTGGTGATTCAGCATCCAGGGCAGACATTGCTAATGGATCACCAAACTCTGAGCCCTGAGGAAGGCCTAAGAATTCTTTTCAATATAGCATGAGGCTGCAAGGACTGGTTTCACAGGGGTCTGGCTAAGCTGAAATCCTCTTTGCTGGTGCTGGGACAACTGGATAGCCACATGCAAATGAATGAAGGTGGACTCTTAAACCTCACACTATGTACAAAAGTTAACTCAAAATTGATCGAAGACCCAACGGGAAGAGCTAGAACTATAAAACTCTTAGAAGAATACAGAGAAGTAAATCTTCATGACTGACCTTGAATTGGCAATGGATTCTTAGATATGATACCCAAAGCACAAGCAACAAAAGAAAAAAAATACAGTAGAACCTGTGAAAGCCAGAACCTGTGTAAGGCGGTAACCTGTCACAGAAGAAAAACTCAAATACTTTCCACTAAAAAGAGCAATAGAAAAGTGGCAAGACCCTATCAAAGGTGGAAAACTTGCAAGATCCAGAAAAACAAGCAGCCCTGTCTGTCAAGTTCCAGCTCACAGGTTTCACAGTAGATAAATTGTACTTCCTCAAAATTAAAAAACTTTTGTGCATCAAAGGACACTATGAAGACAATGAAGAGACAACCCACAGAATGGGAGAAAATATTTACAAGCCGTATAACTGACAAGGGACTTGTATCTACAATATATAAAGAACTCTTACAACTCAATCATAAAAAGGCAAATAACCCAATTTAAAAATGGGTAAAGGATCTAAACAGCCATTTCTTCAAAGCAGGCATACAGATAGCCAATAGGCACATTAAAAGATGCTCAATGCCATTAGCCCGCAGGGAAATTGAAGTCAAAATGGCGATGAAATACCACTTCCCATTCACTAAGACGGCTACAATCAGAGTCAGATAATAATTGGTATCAACAGCGTGGAGAGGTCAGAACCCTCATACACTGATGGTGGGAAGGTAAACTGGTGCAGCCACTTTGGAAAAACAGTCTGGCAGTTCTTCAAAAAGTTCAACATAGAGTTACCATTTGACCCAGCAATTTGACTCTTAGGTATACACCCAAGAGAAATGAAAACATATGCTTGCACAAAAAATTTGCACATGAATGTTCATAGCAGCATTATTCATAATTGCCAAAAGGTGGACACAGCCAACTCAAATATCCACCAACTGATAAATGGGTAAACAAAATGTGGTCTATCCCTACAACAGAATATTATTCAGCCTTAAAAAGGAATGAAGTACACTACATGCTACAACATGGATGAACCTTGCAAACATGCTGTGTGAAAAAGCTAGGCACAAAAGACTACATGGTATATGATTCCATTTATATGAAATGACCAGAACAGACAAATCTATGAAGACACAAAGCAGACCAACGGTTGCTTAGGGCTATGAGGACTAAGGTGCGCCTGACCCAAGCCATGGTGTTTTCAGTCCCCTCATATGAATGCAAAAGCTGGACAGTGAATGAGGAAGACCCAAGAAGAGTTGATGCCTTTGAATTACAATGTTGGTGAAGAATACTGAATATACCATAGACTGCCAGAAGAACAAACAAATCTGTCTTGGAAGAAGTACAGCCAGAATGCTCCTCAGAAGCAAAGATGGCGAGACTTTGTCTTACATACTTTGGACCTGTTATCAGGAGGGACCAGTCCCTGGGGAAGGACATCACGCTTGGTAAAGTAGAGGGTCAGCAAAAAAGAAGACCCTCAACGAGATGGACTGACACAGTGGCTGCAACAGTGGGCTCAAGCGTAACAATGATTGTGAGGATGGCGCAGGACCAGGCAGTGTTTCATTCTGTTCTACATAGGGTCACTATGAGTCGGAACTGACTCGGCGGCACCTAACAACAACAGGGCTATGGGTAACAGAGGGGCTGCTGGGGGGTGATAGCTAAAGGGTAGTGCCTTTCCTTTCAAGGTTATGAAATGTTCTAAAATTGATAGCGGTAGTTGCACAACTCTATGTGAATATACTGTTGTGTGCCAGCAAGTCTATTCCAACTCATAGCGACCCCATATGACAGAGTAGAACTGCCCCATAGGGTTTCCTTGGCTGTAATCTTTACAGGAGATCGCTAGGTCTTTTTTCAGCTGCTGGGTGAGTTCAAACTGCTGACCTTGCTATTAGCAGCAAAGTGCTTAAACATGGCGCCACTAGGGCTCCTCTGTGAATATACTAAAACCCAATAAATTGTATACTTTAAATGGGTATGTGAATTACATCTCTATAAAGTTGTTAACCCCCAAAAAACATCGTCTTTGCTGCCCTTCATTTGTTCCACTCCAGCCTATTGACTTCATTTCCTGGAGAGCAACATGTTTCTTCCTGCCACAGGACATTTGCACCAGCTGTTCTCTGCCTAGAATGCCCTTTGCTCCCTCTGTACCTACTCAATTCCTCCCCATCTTTCCTTTTTAGCTGGGGTTCAGTCACTTCCTCAGAGACACTGCCCTGTTGAAGCCAGACTCTGTAGGGCCGAGAACATCTCCTTCATGGGGCTAAGAGCATATGACTTTACAAGGATTTGTGTGGTCACTTGAGTTAATGTCTTCTCCCTCACAGAACTGTCAAGTGTCCCTAGAGCAGGTCCATGTTGGTTTTTCTTGCCTCCAGAGCAGGCAGCACAAGGCCTAGGACATAGTAAACTCATTGCCATCAAGTCGATTCCAACTCACAGCAACCCTATAGGACAGAAAAAAACCATCCCATTGGGTTTCCAAGAAGTAGCTGCTGGATTTGAACTGCTGACCTTTTGGTTAGCAGCCAAACACTTAACCACTGCGCTACCAGCACCCTGGGACATAGTAGGTGCTTGTTAAAAGATCCTTCCCTCCTGTCTAGTGTGTCTGCCCAGCCACACACCTCTCTGATCCACCCCTTTATAAGTAAGGAACTGAAACTACCCAGAGAGTTCTAGAAAGATTACTTCTCCATCAATCGTACAAACCCATCCAAAGCCCAACAAAGCCCCAACCCCAAAAAAGGTTGCCATTGAGTTGATTCCAACTCCTGGCCACTCCATGTATTGCAGAGTAAGATCTTCATGGCTGTGATCCTTTCAGATGCAGATTGCCAGGTCTTTCTTCCGAGGTGCCTCTGGGTAGGTTTGAACTGACAACCTTTCAGTTAGAAGTCAAGCACTTAACTGTTTGCGCCACCCAAGGACTCCTAACTAGTTGCTGTCGAGTCAATCCTGACTCACAGTGACCCCATGTATGCAGAGTAGAACTGCTCCATAGGGTTTTCATGATTGTGACCTTTAGGAAACAGATTGCCAAGCCTTTCTTCTGAGGTGCCTGTAGGTAAGTTCAAACCTCCAACCTTTCAATTAGAAGTCAAGTGCTTAACCATTCGCACCACCCAGGGATCCAACCAGTTGCCACTGAGTTGATTCTGACTCAGAGCAACCCCATGTGTGCAGAGTAGAACTGCTCTATAGGGTTTTTATAACTGTGACCTTTTGGAAGTAGATCACCAGGCCTTTCTTCTGAGGCACCTCTGGGTGGATTCAAACCACCAACCTTTCAGTTAGCAGCCAAGCGTGTTAACGGTTGACACCACTTAGGCCTTTCACCCTTTCAAACTGTAAGCATCTCAGAACTGAGTATTTCCTCTTTAATCCAAAGAGCAATCTTAGTGGGTAGGTATTACTATCACCCTAATTTCACAGATGAGAAAGTTGGGAAATTTCTAAGTAATTTTCCCAAGGTCACACGATAAGTCAGGGTTTCAGCTCTCTGCCCCATCTCATTCCAGAACACACCCTCTGGCATTTCCCACCAGTGGGACCAAGCCCAGGCCAGTTCCCCTCTGTGGGTCTCAGTTTCCCCATACGAGCATGGCAGTGAGTAGGATACAATTTCCTACAGCTCCTGGGTGCTGCCAAAGCCCCCCACAGCCTCTGGTGCAGATACACGTTTACTGAGCACCTAGCCCTGCAGGTGCACAAGGATGCAGGTAGGAGGTAGAACGTCAGGATTGAAAGGCCAGACAACAGAAGTTACAGGTAGGGTCAGGACAGGTAAGAGAGATCCTAGGGGAAAGTTTCAAGGTTGATAGGTCCAGACAACATAGAGTAGGAGGGCTGGGGTCTTAGGATCCAAGGGTCAGGGGTTGGAAATCATAGAATACATGCCAGGGAGGGGAGCTGTCAGTCATAGGATCAGAGGTACGGGATTAGAGGGCAGAGCGTGAGCTCCTGGCTCAGAGTCACGTGGTTAGAGGTTAGTGGTCAGCCTCACCTGGTCCCCCTGGCGAGCAATGATGGTGCCAGCTTTGGCGTGATGCAGTAAGACCCGGCTGTTCAGAAGAGAGGGGTCCTGCAGAGGAAGCGTGGTTGAGATGGGCCCGGCCAGGCCTCCCCTGCCCCACCACGTCCCTCAGCCCCCGCACTCTGGCTGCCCACCTCAATGCGCATCAGCTTGGCCAGCTCCCGCTTGGCGGCCTCAATGATGCTGCTCGTCTGGCGGCCTTGGTAGGGCCCAAAGGGGCAGCCGCCAGTGGCTGACTCATCCTCGCAGTAGCTGTACTCGCAGGCGCCTGCTGGCTGTTCCCGGGGCTCCTGAGTGGGGGTCTGCATGGGGTAAGACCTGTGACTTCCAGCTCCCCAAGCACCCTGCTCCGGGGGCTCCACCCTTGGCTGGGCCACCTCCAGGCCAGGGAGGGGACTTGAGTCAGGGAGGGGAGAAAAAGGTAGGGCTGTACCCGAGCGGGAGCTGCCTGGGGCCCCCCTGAGGCCTCTTCCTGCAGGGACACAGAGATCCGGCCACGCTCATACGCCATGTCGAAGTCCGAGCGGGGGCCACCCTGCAAGACTGTGGGTGGGCAGTGGGTAATATAAGCGCAATAAAAACAAAGGTGCTTATCACTACAGTCTAAGACGAGCCACTTGGGGGCAGTGGTGGCTCAGTGGTGGAATTCTTGCCTCCCATGAGGGAGGCCCGGGTTCCATTCCCAGCCAATGCACCTCATGTGCGGCCACCACCTGTCTGTCAGTGAAGGGTTGCATGTTGCTGTGATGCTAAACAGGTTTCAGCAGAGCTTCCAGACTAAGATGGACTAGGCAGAAAGGCCTGGTGATCTACTTCTGAAAATGAGCCAGTGAAAACACTATGGACCACAACAATCCCGTCTGCAACCGATCATAAGTATGGGGCAGGACTGGACAGCATTTTGTTGCACTGTGTATGGGGTCATCCTAAGTTGGGGGCCGACGCAATGGCAGCTAACAACAACTACAAAAGGCCAGCCGCCATCTGTGTGCCAAGTGCCCCATCCATGGCAGACATGACTAATCCATGACTGCACTCTCCCTCAGAATCCCTTACCCCAGGTGGGAGAGACCCATCTCAGTGGGTACCCACAAAAAGCACCTAAGAAAGTACTGTCATTTTTTCCCATTTCACAGATAAGAAAGCCAAGTCTCATAGGCAGTGGAGTCTGGATTCAAACCCAGAAGCTCAATGGCCTGCGCCCCCAGCCCACAGGCCCAGTGCTCCGAACCTGAGATGTCCACAGGCATGGAGATGCAGCGGCTCAGCAGGGGGGCCGAGGGCGCTTCCAGGGAGGTGGGCTTCACTGGGTCCCCTGGGGGAGACTTGTGTTCAGGCCCCAGCCCTTCAGAACCACTCGGTCTAGAGCTAGGATTAAGGTGTGGGGAGCTGAGGGGGGCCTGGACAGGGGTCAGCTTGGAGTCCCCAGGGAGTAGGGGCTAGGAACAGAGATTCCAGTGAGTCTAGAGTGCTGAAGTCCCCAGGGGGCCAGACAGGGGTCAGAACTGGGTGCCCACCCCAGATTTTCTACCAGCCCAGAACTACAACAGTTTCCGAGGCCAACTCTTCAGACAGGGATTGGACTGGACATAAGGTGATACTCGTGAGGAGTGTGCGTCTTAGCTCAAGTAGATACAAGAGACTAAACGGGCAACTTCTGTCCGGAGGTGAGATGGGAAGGCAGAGAGGGGTGAGATGGGAAGGCAGGGGAGCTGGTTGAATGGACATGGGGAGTCAACAGTGGAAAAGAGAAATGTGCTGTCACAGTAAAGGTAGAGTAATTAGGATCACATAACAATGTATGCATAAATTTTTGTATGGGAGACTAAATTGAAATGTAAACTTCATTTGAACTACAACAATAAAAAATAAATAAAAGAACTGGGTGCCCAGCTGGGGTTATGGGTCCCTGGGGGCCAGACAAGGTCAGAACTGGGTTTCCAGCTGGGGATAGGGGTCCATGGGGGCCAGACAGAAATCAGAACTGGGTTTCCAGCTGGGGATAGGGGTCCATGGGGGCCAGACAGGTGTCAGAACTGGGTTTCCAGTTGGGGGTGGGGGTCCATGGGGGCGAGACAGGGGCCAGGACTAGGTGCCCAGCTGGGGCTAGGGGCCCCTGGGGGTCAGACAGGGGTTAGAACTGAATGTCCAGCTCGAGTGAGGGGTCCCTGGGGGGCCAGATGGATCAGAACTGGGTACCTAGCTGGGGCTAGGGCAACCTGGGGGGCTAGCAGGGATCAGGCTGGGTCCTCTGGGGAACTCAGAAAGGGGATGTCAAGGGGACTGGGGGTGAGGCTGGGGTTCCTGGGAGACTGGATACCTGGGGGCCAGGCATGGGTCAGTGTTGGGTACCTGCAGGCCCAGGCAGTGGGGCCCCAGTGGGGTCAGGCGGCCGGCCAGGGGTTTCCCTCAGCTCCTCACTAGTCGAGGTGCTGACCACTCGCTTGGAGCCACGTATGGGGCTGGTGCGGGCCGGGAGGCCAGGGCTGGGGAAAAGTCGGAGTGGCTGGATCTCCTGGGGGCATAGAACAAGCCTGTGGCACTGGCCCAGGAATCACAGGGACTCCCTCAGCCCCCTGGGCTTGCCCCCAACTCACGTGGCTGAAAAGCTCATTGGTCAGGCCCAGGTAGTTGTGAAGTGCCAGGAACGTGACCCTCTGCAGACGCACCATGATGATCTGCAAGGAGAGATAGGGGCCAGGAGAGGGCGGGGGTCAGGAGAGGGACCGGGAGAGGGTGAGATCAGGGGAGGGGCCGGGAGAGGGTAGGGTCAGGGGAGGGGGCAGGAAAGGGTGGGGTCAGGGGAGGGAACAGGAGAGGGTAGGGTCAGTGGAGGGGACAGGAAAGGGTGAGGTCGGGCAGGGGCCAGGAGAGTGGGGTCAGGGGAGGGGCCAGGAGAGGGCGGGGTCGGGGAGGGGCCAGGAGAGGGCGGGGTCGGGGAGGGGCCAGGAAGGGTGGGGTCAGGGGAGGGGCCAGGAGAGAGTGGGGCCTGGGAGGGAACAGGAGAGGGTCGGGTCAGTGGAGGGTGGGTCGGGGGAGAGAACAGGAGAGGGCGTGGTCGGGGGCGGGGCCAGGAAAGGGTGGGGTCAGGGGAGGGGCCAGGAGAGGGCGTGGTCGGGGAGGGGCCAGGAGAGGGCGTGGTCAGGGGAGGGACCAGGAAAGGGTGAGGTCGTCGGAGGGAACAGGAGAGGGCGTGGTCGGGGGAGGGAACAGAAGAGGGTGGGGTCCAGGTGACGGCTGGAGTCAAAAGGGTTGCCAGCAGGGGCAAGGCCAGGGATCAAGGGAGTGAGCTACAGAGAACAAGAACAGAGCAGCTCCCCATAGTGAAATTTGGGACAAAGGATTAAGAGTGGTGGGGTCACAGATGGGAAGAAAGACATGGGCGGAGCCAAGATTGGGAGCAGTGAGGGGCGGCGCCAGAGCAAAGGCGGCACTTGGGATAGAGCCCAGAGGAAATCATATCCTCGCAGTCGCAGGAGAAAATGGGGCCAGGCGGCAGCTAGTAGGCCGAGCCAGGGGCGGGGCCAGGAAGCCTGACTGCTCAGGACAGATAAGCACAAGCGTGGAGGCAGATGGTTACCCTGCGGTGGCTGGGATGGGCGGCTATGGGCATGGGGTTGGGGGTGGAAGGCCCGCTGACCTGCACAACCCGCACCAGGCTCTCGGGGTACTTAGTAAAGACGGCAGAGAAGGCCTCCACCGGCAGCCGCAGCACCGTGGAGTCTCTGGCAGCCCGGGCAGACACTGTGCGCTGTGGATGCTGGTGACCCTGGGGGCAGGTGGGCTTACGGTCAGGGGCTGCGACTCTGGCTCCGGGAGGCCCTTGCTGTCCCTCTACCCTCCTGAGGTCTGTCCCTTTAAGGACCACCCGCAGGTTCAGGGGCATATCAGACACTGGGGTTCCTGGGATGACGACCTCCCAGCTCTGGCTACATTCCTGCTCCAGGCCTTTCACGACCTCCCAGCTCTGGCTACATTCCTGCTCCAGGCCTTTCACGACTTATGCCCAGGCCCAGCCCTGGAAACAAGCCTGGTAACCGCCCCCCACCCCCACCCCCCAACACTGTCCTCAGAGTGTGTCCTCACGCCCAAGCACTCCCGCCTGGTCACTCACGGTGATGACATCCAGGATGCTCAGAAGACTGTTGACACTGTCTCCAGGGACCACTTCTTTCACCACACACTCCTTCCCATCCTGAGACACAGGGGCCACTAACCGGTGAGGGCCCCAACCTGATGATACACATCCCACCCGGGAACCCACAGAACATCCAATCAGCACCCCTTCCTGTCTATCACTAACTCTAACCACTGGCCCTGCGGCCCACCCAATGCCCCGGGTTACCCATTCGACTGCCTCTGGACCATGCATCTCACCAACCCTGATATATGACTGTTACTGAATTGTGCCCCCTCAAAATATGTACAAGTCCTCACCCCTGTACCTGTGAATAGGAACTGGAAATAGGGGCTTTTTGTTATGTTACCAGTGCAGGGTGGGTCCTAAACCTAATCCCTTTTGAGTTATAAAAAGAGCAGGACAGACACAGAGGCACACAGGAGGGCAGGCAATGGAAACAGACACATCTACAAGCCCAGGAATGCCAAAGATTGCCCCAGCTACTGGAAGCTGAAATAGACAAGGACTGACATCCCCCTAAAGCCATGCCCTGAATTCAAACTTCTAGCCTCCAGAACTGTGAGAAAATCAATTCCTGTTCTTACAGCCGTCCACCTGAGGTATTTCTGTTACAGCAGCACTAGATACCTAATACAATGATGTGTGTTTGTCAAAACTCGTAGGACTATACAACACAAAGAATGAACCCTAATAAAAACTACGGACTCTAGTTAATGATAATGTTTCAATACTGGTTCATTAACTGTAATAAATGTACCACAAAAATACAAGATGTTAATAGAAACTATGCAGAGGAAAAGGAGGTATATGGGAATTCTCTGTACTTTCTGCACAATTTTTCTGTAAACCTAAAACGGCTCAAAAAAATAGTCTATTATATGTATATTTAAAAAAAAAAAAAGGTGGTGGGAAAGTAGAAAAACTCTAGAAGGATTCCACACTGAGATTATTTCCCAAGTTTCTTTTAAATTTGTATTCCAATTTAAAGAAGTAAACACTAAAATTCATAGATGGCATTTTATGGCGTGCCTGGTACAAGAAAGAGTCCCTCGGTGGTGCAAATGGTGAATGTGCTTGGCCGCTAACCAAAAGGTTGGTAGTTCAAGTCCACCCAGAGATGCCTCGGAAAAAACGCCCGGTATCTACTTCCAAAAACTCAGCCACTAAAAACCCTATGGAGCATAGTTCTGCTTTGACATGTGTAGGGTTGCCATGAGTCAGAGTCAACTCGATAGCAGCTGGGGTGTGCAAGAGAGGCAAAGAACTCCAAAAGCAAATACTTGACTGGAAAACAAAGATCTTGACCAGACATCAAATGATGAGTTAAGGAACACACATTTTATGCGTCTTAAGTTAAAATAAAATGTTGAACAGTGTGGAAGCACCTTGAAAGCATTAAGCTGAGCAGAAATAAGTCAATCACAAAAGGACCATGACCTCACTCTGTGATCTCACCTGTATGAAACAGAAACTATACAGAAACCAAAGCTCATTAGTGGTCACCAGGAGTGGGAGGGAGGCGGGAAGGGGAGCTACTGTGCAAGGAGCACTGAGTTTCTGTTAGTGGTGGTGGAATAAGTCAGAAAAGGAGAGTGACTGGTTGTACAACATAAAGAACGTAATTGGTGTCACTGACTTACACGTGTAAAAACTGTTGAAATGGCAAATATTTTGTTATGTATGTTCTTGTTCTTGTCGTTATTTGTCATCGAGCCAGTTCAACTCGTGGGCACCCTATCTGTGCAGTTCTACTGTGCTCCACAGGGTTTTCAAGGCTGTGACCTTCCAGAAGTCGACTGTCAGACCTTTCTTCCAAGACATTTCTGGCTTGGTGGACTCAAATGCCAAACTTTTGGCTAACAGTTGAGGGGTAAACCATCTGTACCACGCAGGGACTCCTTGTATATTCTTATCAATTGAAATACATATAGTCATGAGCTGCACAACATCTGTTCGGGCAACATCCAACTGCATAGAGGTCCGTGGTCCCAAAAGTTCATAACTACGGGTTGTACGTAAGACAGACATTCGTAAGCCAGGGACTGCCTTATACGATACGGTGTTTGTACAACGTCCAAATCACATAACGTCCTGTTTCACAGAACGTAGTGTGGACATCAAGTGATGCATGACTGTATATACCAAACGGTCGACTGTGAAAAACCAAACTAAACTCATTGCTGTCGAGTCGATTCTGACTCATAGCGACCCTATAGGACAGAGTAGAACTGGCCCATAGGGTTTCCAAGGAGCTGCTGGTAGATTTGAACTGCCTGCCTTCTGGTTAGCAGCCAAGCCTTTAACTACTGTGCCACCAGGGCTTCAAATGGTCAACAATTACTTTCAAACAAAGATGAGAGTGTAAGAAGGCAGCAAAGCTAGATTAATGGAAACAGAATAACCAGAACAGAAATATTGAGAATGTTCATGCATTGTGAAGAATGTAACCAATGTCACTGAACATCTGCGTAGAAATTGTTGAATGGGAACCTAAGTTGTTGGATAAACCTTCATCAAAAACAAAAAAAAATATTAAGAGAAAAAAAAATACATATATATATACATATATATATACACACACGCACATATACATATATACACACACACATATATATATATTAGGATGAAAAATAAATTAAAATGTGCAAATGCTGATGGTATACAAAAATAAACCACATCCCTGACCCCGTGGATCTGACAATGGCTGTACCATGGACCATCCCCATTGCCACCCCCACTGGCCACCCTGCAGTGCCACCTTGGGCAGTCCACTCACAGGTCCAGGCAGGCAGAGCTCCACCACCCCATCCTGCACCACATAGATGCTGGCATCAGGCTGGCCCGGCCGGAAGACATAGTCCCCCTGGTTGAGCCGCTGGAAGACCATGTGCCGGCAGAGCTCCAGGAAAAGCGGCTTCTCAAAGTGGCCCAGCACCCTGCAGGATGGGAGGGCAAAGGAGGCTGGAGGTCAGGTGGGCCCAGCCCTGCAGCCTGCCCCTGCCCGCCTGGCCCCAATACTAACCGGACGTTCTTGAGCATGTAGAGCACCTCTGAGGGCAGGTGGGAGTTGGCCAGGTCGCCCTCTGTCAGGTCGGCCTCCAGCACAGCGGGTGGGGGCTCCTTCCGCTGCAGCGTTGGTGCTTCTTTCTGGATGCGCAGGATCCTGGTAGCAGGAGAAGGGTGGGAGGGGGCAGGGGAGGGGTCGTATAGAGCAGGGTTCAGCAAACGATGGCTTGCAGGACAACTCTAGCCTACCACTAATTTTTGTACATAAAGTTTTCTTGGCACACAGCCATGCTCATTAATTTGTGTATCATCTATGGCTGCTTTCATCCTAAGACAACAGATTGAAATACTCGTGACAGAGCCTGTGTGGCCTGCAAAGCCCAAGATACTTACTATCCGGCCTTTTACAAAAAAAGTTTGCTGAGCCCTGACATAACGCCCTGATCACAGGTCCCTGAGATAGACCCTCGAGGGAGGCAGAGTCCTGACGTAGCTTCTAAGATATGGGCAGACCCCAGATATAGCACCTCTGCTGATTGGGACCCCTGAGATAGTCCTTCCGGTAGTCACAGACTAGATTCCTGAGATAGCCTGCCTAGTGGAGGCAGACCCTGAGATACCTTCCGTGATATGAGGAGACCCCAAACATAGTTTCTTTGCTCTTCATAAAGATGCCTGAGATAGCCCTTCCTCCCAGGCCTCAGAGAACCCTGAGATTGCCTCTTTGATGGTCATCGAGACCTTGAGATAGCCCTCATTATACACGGAGAGTCCAAACATAGCCTCTCTGCTAATCATGGACCTGGAAGAGCCCTTCCCCTCAAGTCCCAGTGATTACTGAGATAGCCCCTCCACTGGTCACCAGATTCCTGAGATAGACTCTCTAGTATGAGCAGACAGACCCCTGAGATAATCTCCACGATATGGAGAAATCCAGATATAGCTCCTCTTCCGGTCAGGAAGATCCTTGGGAAGGCCCTTCCTCAGACCATAGAAGGCTCTGAGATAGCCCTCTAACAGTCGCAAAGACATCAGAGTAGCTTCTCAAGGGTGTGCAGACACTGGAGATGGCTCTCACGATGTGGGGAGATCTGAGATACAGTTCTTCAACTCATCATGGAGAACCTAGAGATAGTCTTCCTGTCCAAGTCATAGAAAGACCTGTAATAGTGCCTTGTTGATCAGAGACCCCTGGGTGACCCTCTAGGTGAAGAAATCCCTGAGACAGACCTTCCTGTAGACCCCATGGTGTGAGGAGAACCCAGAGCCATCTCCAATTTACAAAGATCCCTGGAGAGCCCTTAGAGACCCGTTGCTGATGACTGGGACCCCTGAAATGTTCTTCCTATGTTTCTGGCCCAAGAAGATGCTTGTGACAGCTCCTGGGCAACAGAAACCCCTGAGATAGCCTCCCTAGTGTGGGAAGAACCACAAGGTAGGTGATGAAAAGAGATGCCTTCTGATGCAGTGACTGCTGGGACAACCTCTGGAGGACAGAGGCTGGACGTCATAGACACCTGAGATGACCCCAGTAAGGTACCCTATGATAAATTCTCTCTTGTGGGGAGACCCATGAAATGGCCTTTACAAAGACCCCACATATATATGAAAACATTTCTGAGATAGTCCCTACCTCCCCTGTGGAAGGGGAATACCACTGAGATGGCCCTCAGGGAAGAGACCCTAGAGACAGCCGGTCTAGTGTGGGGAGCTGACATAGCCCTTCAGAAAATAGTCCTGAGAGGTCCCTTCCATGTGGAAACACTCCAGACAGACCTTGCCGTCAAAAGAACCCTGAAGCACACCCTTTGGTGTGGGCTGATCACTCAGGAAGCCCCTAGCATAGCTCTTGGTCCCAGGCATGCCCAGCACAGCCTTACTTCTTAGCAATGTTGAGCATCTTAAGTTTCTTCTTCATGCGTGGCCGGGAAGTGGTGGAGACTGAGGTGTCCACCAAGGAAGAAGTGGACTGTGACACCTGGGAGGGTAAAGGGAAGTGGGGGAAATTGGTCAACTGTCAGTTCAGACTGTGAAATCTAGCGGTCCTTGATCAAGTGGGGTAAGGTCCACGGGGAGGTGTAACTACGGAAGAGGCAGGGCCTCACTGTGGTCAGTGCCACCCCAGGGGTCCTAACTCACCTTCCGCATAATCTTCCGGCCATAGAAAAGCACTTTGTCCCTCTTCCGGAATCGATAACGGGGGCCATCCGGGGCTGGGGTTTCTGGGGATGGGTAGGGAGGTGGACTCAGCTCCGCGCAGACTCTACGAGGCCCGAGGGGGGAAGGCGGTAGGCAGATCCCAGCAAATCCCATCTCTACTGCCCCAGAGACCCAAGAATTTCAGCTCCCCACCCCGCCACCTCCCCAAGGGGCCTTCCAGGTCCTCACTCGGCACTCGCAGCCTCCGCACCAGCAGGAGGATGAGCACCGCCGTGACCAGCACCGCGACTCCGGCCCCGATCATCACGCCCAGCACCTGAGGGACGAACGGCACTGGCTGCGCATTGCATGGCCGCTCGGCAGAGCCCTCCCTGGGGGCCAGCGCGCCCTGGGCCCCATCCCACTCCCCTCCCTCCGCCCCCAGGGAGGTCGCAGCCATCTCGGGCCTCGGTGTCCCCATCTGCGGAATGGCCCGGTGCTGCTTCCCCCCCGGGGGCGCGACTCCTCCCTGCGGCTTGGCGGCCCGCGGTGCAAGCCGGGAAGAGTAGTTCGGCCTTAACACATGCAGCCTCTTTCTCGCGATAACCCGCGCTGAGTATGCCGGGAGTTGTAGTCCCCGCCGCACTGCACATTCACAACCTGCACCATTCCTGTTTGCAGCGGGGCGTCCATCAGCTGCTTCAAGCTGGTCGGCAAGAATGGTAGCCCGGAGTCCTGAGGAACGAAGGAGCAGAAGGAGCCCATGCGGGGCCCGTCACTCTGGGCCCACCTCCAGAAGCCCCGCCCCTTAGCACAAGCCCCGCCTCCTGCGTCCCCTCGGCCCGGAGGCCTTGCTGGCGGGCAGGTATGGCTAGAGGGACGCTGAGGAACAGTGGGGCCGGTCAAATCGACGTCGGGGTCCGGGCAGGGGGTGAGGCGGGTCCGCTGGCTGCCTGGCTCCTTCACCCACGCACCGGCCGGACCAGACGCCCCGCCCGTCCAATCCCGCCCTGGGAGCAAGGGCATTTGGACATCCACTACCAGCTGCCCACGCGCGGGGCCCCGCAGGACACCGCCCTCACGCGCTCCCTCCGGCCCCTCCTAATCGGTCCCTCCCGGGTCTGTGCCCTGCGAGATTGTTCAATCCAGACCAACCGGCCCCTCGGCCGCACCTCCTGAGAAGACAGGACGCCCCAGCTCAGACAACGGACCGCTGGCCGAGGGCGAAGTAACCTGATGCCTGGCTCCTGACTCAAACCTGCCTCTGGGGAGGCGGGGAACCCCGGAGCTGGGGCGCGCGGAGTGCTGCCGGGGGCTCCTACAGAAGAGGTCCTAGGGCGGTACCCAGGTCTTGGAAAGCTCCTGGGACGCTCAGGGTGGGCTTTTACTGGGTTTATGCTGGAGATACTGCAAACGGTAAAGCGCTTTACTAGTAACTGAAAAGTCGGTGGTGGAACCCACCCAGCGGCTCGGCGGGAGCAAGACCTGGCGATCTGCTTCCATAAAGATTACAACCAAGAAAACCCTATGTGGCACTCCTACTCTAACACGTCGTTATGAGTCGAAATGGATTCAAGGGCACTCAACAACCAAAGTTATGGGGTCTCAAGAGTATGGAGCAGCTTTAGGACTCGGGGAACGATGCGGGCAAAATAGCTAGAAAACATAACTAGGGATGCTAGAATCACTGGGGGGTGCTGAAAAGTTACTGAAAGATTCTGTGAAATACAAGACTACTGCTGGAGGAAACGGGGCTGGCCAGGCATGTCCCTGGGGTCGTTGGCCTTTGATTGCGGGTCTGGGGCGGGGCCGGAGCTCCCTGGTAGACACTGAGGAATGCTGGAATATTACTAGGACTTCTTTGAGAGGCACATGATGTTTCTGGTGCCACTAGAGTATTGGTAGAAATTTGAGGAAGTTACTGGGCCCTTAAGACATTACCGGGAAAACTGCTGGGGAACTAGGTCGCCTACTACCCCAAGGCACACCTGGCTAATCTGCAGAAACACCGCCGGGAATTGGGGGGATGGGAGCATCGGGAAATCGAGGGCTACCACTACTTAGGGGAGGACATAATGTGGCAAAGCCGAGGGTTCACTAACGACCCTCGAAAGGACACCCCTGCCGGGCCGATGGAAACCCGAACTCACCCAGGGACCGCAGCGCGGGTCCACTCTACGCCAATACCGCTAGCCCTCCGCCCGCGTCGCAGGCGCAGCCCCTTTAAATTACTCGCCGCAGCCACGCCTCTTGCCCGCCATGCTGGGAAGGTCGCGCGGAAGCCGCCACGCCAGGTATGGCGGCGCCTTAAAGGGGCTGGAGCCCAGCTGACGAAATGAATGCCCCTTGCCCCTCCACTAAAAATGAAAACGCGCTTATTTACTCGTTTATTTTAACACCCCCCACCCCGATCCAACCCCAGTGTCCGACCCGACTGGCCCTGGCCGGGCGCAGCAGGGAGCCAGTCCTTAAAAGCAAACCCTAAAAATAAATTAAGCGTGGGTCCCCGCAGTCCGAGGCTAAGATCCAGTGGCTGTCCTGGTCCGAGTCAATTCACCAGCAGAGAATGCTCCTCCGCGTCCCTGGAAGAGTGGAGAGGAGCGGTAGTGTCAGCCGGGCCGGAGAGGGGTCAGCTCCCTCAGGCACCCTCCCCTTCCCCTGAGCTCCCAACCAGGCTACAACCACACCTGCCGCAACAGCAAAGGAGGCTGCAGGCTGAGCCGCTCCCGCGGCGGAACTTGCCGGACGTGGGGCTGTCCTGGCACTGTGCGATGTAGGCCTGGAGCTCACTCTCCTCCCCGCCGGCACCCGGGTGCTGGGGAGAGACAGGAAGGCGGCCAGCATGAAACTGGCCCCTGCTAAGGCCCCCGAGTCTGTCCTTCCCTCTGCCTCCCCTGCAGCCATCTGGGCCCTGGTACCGGCTGTCACTATTGTTACTGCAGACACCCCCACCCCCAAGGCTTGCTTCTGCAGGGAATCCACCCCTGGCCCCTACACTCATGCACACCTAGCATCTTTGTCAGTTTCAGGCCCTCTGCTGTGGCCTCAGCAGTCCCTGGGTGGCAGAGTTAAGTGTTCCACTATTAGCCAAAAGGTTGGCAGTTCAAATCCACCGAGGCACCTTGGAAGAAAGGCCTGGCAATCTGCTTCTGAAAGGTCACAGCCTTGAAAGCTCTAGGGAGCAGTTCTACTCTGCACACATGGGGAAGCTGTGAGTCAGAATCAACTTGAAGGCAAGTAACACCAACAGTCTTTGGCCCCAGTGCCTAGAGCTGGCCTGACACACTCTGGGCACTCCACAAACATCTCTTAAGTCAACCACAGCAGTGGGAGCAGGGACTGGGCTCGTACACTCGCAGCACACAGATGCGTGTGACATCTAAGTACTGGAGCAAGACCCGTGGGAGCTCTGCAGGCCAGAGCGACAGGAGTGTGGCCGTGAGACAGTTGAACCCACACATTGGGGTTACACATCTGCCGGTGACAAGGGGAAGCAGCAGGGCCCTAGCAGAAGTAAATGTTCCAGCTGCCAGCTATGCCTGCACCCGTCCCAGCCCATGGCACCACCATCTCCTCTTAGCCCTTTTCGAATTTCAGGCCTTTTGCTGTTGCTTTTCCTTCCCCACAGTGCTCTCTCCTTTCAGCTCCCATCTCTCTGATCTAGAACAGCACTGTCCAACAGAATTTTCTGAGATGGAAAAGCTCAATATCTATGCTATTCAACATGTAGCCACTGGCTGCACTGGAAGGTTCCGGGGTGGCCCAAACGGGTAAGTGCTCAACTACTAGCCAAAAGGTTGGCGGTTCGAACCCACAAAGAGGACCCTCGGAAGACAGGCCTGGCAAGCTACTTCCAAAATTTCACAGCCTTGAAAACCCTATGGAGCAGTTCTACTCTACACACATGGGGTCGCCCTGAATCAGGGGTGACTTGTGACAACGGGTTAGGTTTTATTTTTTTAGCCGCATTTAACTTTTAACCAAACCAAACCCACTGCTGCTGAGTCGATTCTGACTCATAGCAACCCTACAGGACAGAGCAGAACTGCCTCATAGGGTTTCCAAGGAATGGCTGGTGGATTCGAACTGCTGACCTTTTGGTTAGCAGCCAAGCTCTTTACCAATCTGTCACCAGGCTTTTGGGCACTTGATATGTGGATGCTGTAAGGAAGGAAGTGAATTTTTAACTGTATTCTAACTACAATTATAATTTAGGTATATATGGCTAGGGCTAGACCGGGAGAGCATGTTCTAGAAGCCTTCCTGGACCTAGCCCTAATGCCACGATAAACCTTTGTAACCTTCCACCCTTCCTTCACCTTCTGATCCCTGCAGCCTGCAGGACAAACACCTTTCCCTGAACCAAACACCCCTCTCCCCACTCCCAGGCCACCCCACACGACAGAGAGTTAAGAGTGTGGCTTCTGGAATCAGTCCCGGGGTTAACCCAGCTCCATGACTTCGTGGCTGACCTTGGGCAAGTTACTGAAACTGTAGGGCTCGATTTCCCTGTCAGTAAAAATGGATGCAGGATTACCCATAAGAAAGGTGCTCTACTAAAATCCGTCTATATGAGACCAGAAGATCAACCATCACTCTAAAGCAAAGATGAGAAAATAAGGGGGAAGGGAAACTAGAGTACTGGCAACAGAACAACCAGAATGCAGTTAAAGAGAATGCTGACAGGTAGAAAATGTAACTAATGTCACTGAACAATCTGTATAGAAATTGTCAAATGGGAACCTACTTTACTGTGTAAACCTTCACCAAAAACACAACAAAATATCATTAACACAGAATAGATGCAGGCACTCTACCTGGCCTGAGCCCTATTCAATCAATGCTGAGAATGGAGCAGTGGGACTGGGATGCTCTCAACCCTGCCCTGGTGCCCCCAATTCCAATCAGCCCCCTCCTCTGGCTTCACAAGTCCTACCCAGAGGCCCCCACATCCTGTGCCTGGGTCTTCCCTGCCGGGTCCCCAAGGGTCAGGGGAGCACTTCGTGGCTGATTCCCAGGGACCCGGAGCCCTCACTCAGGGCTCTATGCACACGTGGTGGGCCAGGAGGGGGCGTGCGGGCGCGTGAGGCCGCCGGCTGACCTTGATGGTGTCGTAGGCGCCCGTGATGAGCGCGATGAATAGGCTCAGCACCATGTAGATGAAGAGGCTGATGAAGGAGTAGAGGTAGAGCTGGGAGAAGAGCCAGACGAGACTGCTGCGGCCCTGCTGCGCCTGCATCATGGCGAACGTCGCAAACATGTCGTCGCCGTTGATGAGCGAGAACAGGCACTCGGACACCATGGACAGCGAGCGGAACTGCCGGCAGGGCAGCGGATTGTGGGATCAGAGAGGGGTGGAGGGGCTGGGCAGGCAGCAACTGTGGGCCGGGGTCAGTGCAGGGACAAGGGGTCAGAGGGGACAGTGAATGGACTACCAGCGGTCATATGGGGTCATCTGGGGTCACTGGATGAATGATAAAGTCATAGGGTCAATGACAGGGTCACAAGGGGTCAGAGGGGACAATGGACAGCTGTAACAGGAGTCTATATAAGGTCATCGATCATGAC